ATCACTTTTTGGACCTGCACCCTTCACAGTTTCAGCCCTAACTCGAAATAAATATGTTGTAGACTGACTAAGCCCATTTACGACCGCTTTCAGAAGCGATGCAGGTACTTCCTTTTCGCCCGTCCCTCTCTCGGCTGTGTAGAATATGACGTACTTTGTAATGATACCATGTGTAAACTCTTCAGGAACTGGCTGCCATTCCACCTCGACACTAGTACTGTTCAGTACCTTTACAGAGATAAGTACAGGAGCACTCGAAGGTACTGCAACATACAACAATTTGAGCTTTTGTAAACTGAGTGCAGGTAGGTTTAATACCAGTTGCTATATTGAGATAAACTACTACTATGTTAAATCATTAGGCAAGAACGCCTCCCGGTACCGATGGTATTTAAGGCAAAGGGACTGTCTATGTACGTATTTTATGGTATACCATTCCATTTAAGATGTTGTTTTTCTTTAAAAATCTTGATCATGATAAAAAAAACGAATTTTCCTGTAAGATAGTTTTCTTCTGTTCAAGACTGTGTGTCCGTCCTGAAGGCCACTAAGCTTTCACGCAGGTTATTACCTTTATCTGTTATCGACTTGTATATTGTTTGTTTTCAATGGCGACAGTGATTTGTACAGGAGTATAACCGTATGGCCAACTTTTCTGCATGATCTTCACCTTAGTTAAGGGCATGAGTTGATAACTTTATCGATGATTTTAACTTAAGATATGAATATAATCTACACCAGGCAACAGCATAGAAAGTCTATTGACTTTCATTTTCGAATCGAATTATTTCCTGTTTATTTCGCGTGACCGTATTAGCTGGAATAACAAGAAGCAGAATGAAAAATCCTTTCTCCTTTTTATCACGGCGCTTGGTTACTTGCTAGCCGATTTCTTTTCCCGAAACAAAAGCCAACTTTGTAAGTAGTGAAAATACGTAAAATGCATCGGTTGATTGCAGAAAGGTATCTTGATGTTGCATTTGTATTGTGCTCTGATAACAGATCTGATTGGCTGAGCCATTGTACAGTATCAGCCATTAGTATAAATCTACCAGCGTTCTATCACGGATGCCGTCCTCTGATTGGCTACGCTACTCGCGTTCTATTCTGTGATAGATAGTGAGTAACGTAGCAGCGTGCGCTGGGGGCCGCTTCTTTGTGTTTTCGAAGCGTCTGTGAAGAGGATTTAGATGAAAGTTTTGAACGACTAGCAGATTTATACTAAAACATTTAGATTATTCGCTCTCGATTTCTAAGCGTGATAGTTGACTCGGGCTGCCCCCACGTCAACTATCACGCGATAGAAATCTCGAGCTCATAATCTAATTAGTGTTCAGTGGTTTGGTGTGGTCGTTAAAATTTCAACGTTTACTCGTTTCTCCGAAGTTTTGAAAGAACATTTAAAAACAAAAGGATAATTAAATTCCTGAGAAGACCGAAAAAAAAAAAAAAAAAAAAAAAAAATCGAATATTTTGAAAGAAACTGATAAGCGCAGGCACACAACTGAAAATGTCAAATTGACTGCTCAGTCGGCGCGAATTCTGTGAAGCGAGAAGTTTAATATTAAGACCAGAAATACTTGGAATCGTTATTTGAAGCAAATTTCAGTTAGAATTCTACTGAAACAATTAGATTATTCGCTCTCGATTTCTATGAGGTGACAGTTGATTCGGATTTCGGCCTCATCAACTATCTCCTCATAGAAATCTCGAGCTCATAATTTAATTGTTAAATAGAAACGCAATTTTCAACCAATTAGCGCGCGTATTTTCTTAGGACTGTTTTCTAACAATCTTTATTTGTACTCTCTCACACTATAATACTAATTGTACAAAAATATCGATAATGAAAATTAGAGTACTGGCTGCCTGGAGTAATCATAGGGGCTAGCGGAGCCAGGCAGCCAGTGGACATCAGTGTTAAATGAAAATGAATTGCAGATCAGCAAGAGAGCACAAATGCTCACATAAAAAGAAAGGAAAAGAAGAGAAAAAAAAGAGAGAAACAACAAGAACGCTATTACGACGCTATTAGGGAAGTCTGAAATAATTACGCAATAGTGTGGTGCAAATGGCTAAAGAATGAATCAAGGAAACAAGCAAGCAAAGAAAGAACTGAACAAAGGACCTTTTTGGCGATACCGCAGCCATTTTAAATTCTACGGTTTCAAATAGCTATTGTAGGATTCTAAGGGGGCAAATTAATATGTATTCGCCCCCAAAGCATCCCAATAGGGTATTGGGATGAACAGAATTCAAAATGACCGCCGGATCGCTGAAAAGATCCATTAAAAGAAAGTGAAGAATGATCATCGCAGTTAATTTTCCAATTTAAGCAATTGGAAAGAAGAAGCCTGAAAAAAAATCAGGGCTTCAACGGGATTCGAACCCGTGACCTCTGCGATACCGGTGCGATGTTCTACCAACTGAGCTATGAAGCCACACATTGGGAGCGAGGTCAATTAATTGAGTTCATATCTTCCCGTGAGGAAAATGATGTGAAGTATATATGAAATAATTCATATTTGAACTGCGGTAGTAGATGAAAGTGAAGTATGATCATCGCAGTAAATTTTCCAATTTAAGCAACTGGAAAGAAGAAGCCTGAAAAAAATCAGGGCTTCAACGGGATTCGAACCCGTGACCTCCGCGATACCGGTGCGATGCTCTACCAACTGAGCTATGAAGCCACACATTGGGAGCGAGGTCAATTAATTGAGTTCATATCTTCCCGTGAGGAGTGAAATGATGTGAAGTTTATATGAAATAATTCATATATGAACTGCGGTTGTAGATGAAAGTGAAGAATGATCATCGCAGTTAATTTTCCAATTTAAGCAATTGGAAAGAAGAAGCCTGAAAAAAATCAGGGCTTCAACGGGATTCGAACCCGTGACCTCCGCGATACCGGTGCGATGCTCTACCAACTGAGCTATATAGCTCACACATCGGGAAACCACACATCGGGAGCGAGGTCAGTTAATTGAGTTCATATCTTCCCGTGAGGAGTGAAAGATCCATTAAAATTACTTTAATTACCCAGGAAAGTTCTGGAAGCAGCAATTCCCCAAAACCAGTGAAAACACCTAATAAATAATCATATTAGGCTCCGCTGTCTGATGTTTTCAATCAGCTTTGTCCTTTTAGTTTCAGAACTGTCAGCATCTCCTTAAAACTAAGAATAAACCTCTTCTTTCTATATTATGCTTAAAGCTTAAACACTGAGAAAAAGTCCTGAAACTACGGGAAGATCTAAAGTCTGCAATGACACAAAATAATCAATTTTATGTAGCGGTTCTCTGTATCTTCAGTTTACAGTTGACACAATTTCTAGTTAAAATAAAGATTAATGATTCAAAAGAGTATGTATAAATCTTTATCATGGTAAGGTCAACGTAACGACCCTAGAAAGTTGTACCCATTCCAAAAGTGTGCTGAATCCGAAAGCTTGACTACTTTAAGAACTTTTACCCATTGAAACGCGGAACTTTTTGCCAAAAATGCATTTTTGGGGCATTTCGGACATTTTTAGTCTGGACATGAGCCAAATTAGCTGCAATCTACTCAAAAAGACATTTGCAACATGACAGTATGCCTTTCTTTCCAATAGCATCAGACTCTATGACATTTTTCTTCGGGCATGTGCAGAAACCTGCGACTTTAGGATTTTCGGGCTTTTTTATTTCTTTTCGCCTTTCCTTTTTTCTCCTTTTCTTATCTTTTTGTTGCAGTGGTTAGCCTTCTACTGGGCTTGCTTCCAGTTCAAGAATTCCCGAGAAATTACTATCGAGACGGAAAATTCTTACCATGGGGTAGCCAAGTGTAGTTGAGGGAAATTATGTTCCGAGTTTTTTGCTCAAACTTCTGAGTATTTTCGTGCATATTTCTGGATCAATGGTCTCGAAACCTCTGATCTGTTATCATTGGAAAGATCTTTTCCTCCTGCAGAATTTGAGTACTGTATAAGTGATGCCAATTTTGGTCAAACGCGGTGACGTCAGTAGCGGAACAAAGGCCGAACGTTCGTCACGGCCGGTTAAGGCAATGAGTTAAGGCATATCGCAAAAACTTTATATGGGGTTTATATCCTGGTCCTGGAAGTTTTGTGTTCTTGCTTATAAAGCAAAAAAGCTGAAACGTTTTAATTATGCAAACCAATCAAATTGATTCACCTAGTCTTTGAAATATATACCAATCAACGCTTGAGATTTAAACCTTGATTGTAATTTAAGGTTGAAAACAAGAACTGGAGCACAGTACATGAGTTGCTGTTGCCGCTATCCATGATATAACTACGAGATTCTGATTGACTGAGTCAGCATGCCAATCAATTACGAACAGCGCATGGAATTGAGGGAAAATTGGCTTGCCTTAGCAAATTTCACTTTCAATATTACTGTATGTGTGATATAACAAAATATCAAAATCAGATAAACTTACTATCTTCGTCTGTCCTTTTCTCCAAGACTGAGCTCTTTTGACTGACCCCTTTGCTGTTGAAAGCTTGCATAGCAAACTCATACGAGGTGAACTCCTTTAAGGATGATATCACGTACGAAGTGGTTTCTTTTCCATCAACCTTTCTATTTGCCAATGTTGGATTACATTTTATGTTGTACAAAACGTAATAACCCAAGATTTCTCCTCTGGCTTGCTCTCTCGTCAGCACCTAAATAATGACCATTGATAACAATATACCACTCAAAGTTACCAACAACCAAGACTAGTAACATGAGTTGTTAAAACATGGCATTGAAACGGAAAATGCTGAATGGTTTCCTGAATGGTCCGAATTTTGCAATACGGACCACTAAGATGGACTGACCGCTCACGAATTAATTTCGCCTTTAAAAGTGTTTCTTTTTAATATTACAACAAAGAAATCAGTTTGGTGTTAGGTATATTTTCTTTTTTAATATTTGGTGGACAATTTAAGTTAAACTTTCACGAAGGCAACCTGAAAAACGAAACTACACTGTAAATCCTTAACTTTGGTCCACACGTTTTCCGTGAATAGATAGTGGAACACATTAGTTTATCATAAACGATCCATTAAAATAATTACTTTAGAAAACTACTGCACATTGTGTCGCTGCATTAGCGAATATTGGTTTCGTTTAAGTTTATGGAGCTCGCCTGCCTATGTCTTTCAGGATGACTAATCTAGGACCGTTGTTTATCCCGGTAATTTCAGATCGCATGAACTTGTGCAGATGCCTTCAACGCGCCAGCGCAACAAAATGTGTTTTGAACAGTAGGCATTAGCAAACCAGGTTAATCCCACACTTCAAGAATTCATCAGTTTTGAACAGGCAGGTACTATAATTCTAAACCTTTCCGATTTCATGTAAAATACCTTCCCGTTAGTGTGCAGTCTGTCATGGTTGTAACATAAAGGTGATTCCTCAGAAATAAAAACTGGCGAACGTTTGTTTTTGTTTCAAAAAACTTTCTCTGAACGTTCCCTACCAAGCACTGTTTCAAAAAAATACAATAAAAAAGATAGGTCACCATGCTCGCAAAAGCGATATGATGGGCCAATCTTACCCCATTTATGCCTAATCATGAGCGTTATTTCATCGGTTTACGTTCCATTTTCGGTAGCGGAAAATATTTCATGAAAAACTTAATAAGTAGAAAGTCTCGACCATTTGGAACAATGTAATATACAATTTCTGGAACATTCACACTGTTTTAAACGAAATCGACTCTAAACGTTCTGAAGACGTTGTTTTCAAGGTCATAATTTGCATCCTCATGTAACGGTTTTGTGCACGCTTTTAGCTGTATATATTTTCCTTCCGAACGATTTTTTTGAAAAACGTTTCTCTTGGAGATGATAAATTACACGTCGCAATTACGTAATAAAGAATATAAGAAGAAACGAGGATTTATTTCGCTGTCGGGCTTAGCTTAAGGAAATCTCTCGAGGTTGTGTACTGTATGTGCACGCGCTAATGTACACGTGCTCGTGACGCGAAAATCGTGCGAAGTAGGGATGCCCAATTCAATTCTGAGGAATCACCTTGATGAATGTAATCAACAATAAAAAAGCTTTCAACGATATGAGCGGTTTCGTCTTTTCAACTTTGACGTTAGTTCGGGCAATCTTGCTGAAGCCGTAAATAACTGTGGCTCCTTTCAAATACAGCTCAGCATTTCGCATTTTCATTAGACAATGAAATTATTTGAGAAATTCTAATAAGGATTGTGATTGGCTTATTTTAGCGTGCTTCTTCAGAGAACAGATGCAGGCCACTTTTCTTCGTTTGGAAAATAAAGTTTGGTTGAAAAGATTTGCTGAATGTATGGGAAAATTAATGGTTTCTTTATCATAAAACAAATAAAGAAGCCTTGACTTTGCCCTGTTCTGTTGTAAAGCACGGAAGAAGCGGTGAAACACGATAGAAGAAGGGGAAGCACTCGATTATTTCTCGTGTTTTCCCTGCACTTCTTTCGCGCTCTACTGCTTCCTGATGGCTTTACAAGCTAGAACAGAGCACAGTGGAGGTTTCTTTATTTGTTAAATACGGTAATAATAAAAAGAAATGAAAAGCATTGAGAAAAAACATGGCAACACGAACAGTGATTTTTTTGTAATAAACACATACACCAATAGCAGACTTAAATATTGCATGATGGATCTCATGCTGAGGTTTCTTTGGGTTCTGTGCAGGGTTCATATCAATTCAGGTCAATTGTTTCAAGCAATCATTGTCAATCACATCAGGAGTTCGGAAAGTACTTTCAATGTCTGGGATTTTTGTTTGAACTGTTCAGTAATAAGACTGAGATTGCAAGATGCCATGTGATATACTGATGTACATGTAATGTGATTCGCTGTCCACGAGGGAACATTTAGTGTATTGGCCTGGGTTGTAGAGCGCTAATTCATTACTCACGTAACAAAATATTGCCGACATTCTCTATGCTCCTCAACTTGAAAGAAGCCTTTATTCTTTCAAACAACTAAATATTTGGGTCAACCTGATTTATTTTTGTCCTAATTGAGGATCTACTGTCTTCAGTGAGATTCCACACAAACAGTTTTCTCCATAGCTACCCATCAAATGGCATTGATCAAGTCGGAATTAAACACTGCAAAGTTAACTTAATTATGGGAAGCTACACAGGCACACAAGATAAATCATATCCTACAAAGAGGAATCCCGATTTCTCGGACCCTTAGTTTTTCGAACCTCCCGATGACTCAAACCGAAAGTCGTTTCCCCTCTTCAGTCAAAAGCTGTAATTTTACCCCCGATTTCTTGAACTCTCCGATTTTTCGAACCAATTTTCGTTTCCCTTAAAGGTTCCAAAACTCGGGATTCCACTGCATATCCTATATTAATGGTGTTCTTCTGTAATGCCATCATTAATTGACCATTTTAGTCTTTTTTTTTTGTTCAAGATGGCTGGATGTTGACTTCATCCTTTTTTGTGTGACTATGAACCTCAACTGTATTTCAGTAGGGTAACATGCAAAAAGGCTAACTTGAGACCCAGTCACCTTACTTAGACCTCATGCTTAGTCCAATACGTGTATCATTACAATACCTGCCAAGAGACATTAACGGCAGTGGAATTGACAACAGTCACATCAAAGATTGGAGCAGTACTTGGAACTGTAAAAAGGAATTACACCATGCCTTTAGTAATCAGTAACAAAAGTTTGAACTGATTCACCTCATCATTAAAATATCAGCACCTGAGTAATTTAAGGATGATACAAATGTTACGTAAACATTGAAACAACTACATTGTTTGCATACAGCACCTTCTTCATCTGTGGTAGCATTCACCACAGAGCTCTCATCACTAATGCCAATCTTGTTTCTTGCAAACACTTTAAAGTAATATAATGTCCAAGGTGAGAGGTTTCCAAGAGAAGCACTTGTACTGACCACCACACAGGAACTATCTGATAGGGACCCTTGACAGAGAGCATCTACAAACTGTTCATTATCTCTACTTATCTTCACTGTGTAGTTCTGAATTACACTGTTCCCATCAAAATCAGCAATCCAGGAAATATTCACCACTCGTGAGCTCTTTGAGTCAACTGACACATTCAATGGTGGGTTTGGTCCCACTGTAGAGTTAATTAGATATACACTTCTCAACAACCATTCAAATGTACAATTCAAGCTCATTAGCAATTACCCAAAAGGTAGAAATAGGTACAAGTGGTACAAGGTACAAGTGAAAAGAAAAATGTTCTGAAATTTCTACTGGCAATTAGTCTCGGCAAACAAATAAAACCAGTTTTTTTTTTTTTCACTTTTACTGATGATATCACGGTCTCGTTATTAATGACGTTTGTACTTCATCAGATACAAAATCAGTTGTTATTCAGGGCGTGTTTTGCTTTGAGAAACCATGAACTAAGAGTCCTAGAAGAAACAAAAACCCTCACAATTTTATTTGAATTGGTAATCTTTGTATTGAGGAATGGCCTCTCGTGATTCACTATTTTCCGCACTATAATTTCTTGCTATCACAGTTCCATCTTTTTCCCACTGCACTTCGAACACCGGTGGCAAAGCAGTGTACTGGCATGTCAGCAGGCACTGTCTTCGTTCAACGACTGTTATTACACACTAATTATTGTCTCTTCTGGCACAACTGCAATTATTGCAGTTAATCAAACATCCAGTAAAATGAAGTTGAATTGCAAATGAATAAGAATGAGCAACCATGGAATATTTAGAGAGCAAATTGGAATTTAGAAGTGTTGGTTTTTGTGAAAGGGCGCGAAAAACGAAAAGCTCTAACAAACCCTTCTGAACATAGTCAGTGACAGAGCATATAAATTTAATTGGAATTCAACCTACTTCCGACTCTCGTGGCCTGAAATAAATTAAAATGGCTAAGCAGAATAGTTATAAAGTTCCTCTACGAAATGGAGTGTTCCAGGTACAAGTAGTTGTTGGTATTGCCATGAGTAGCAGATTGTAGATGACATCATTTCACGAAAAACCACGAGTGATATCTGTTTCAGAACATCTAGTAGAGGCGATTTCAAATGTCAGACATATTAAACATAGCGTTTGGTCCCAGAGCCGCCCGTTTGCCTGTTCCATTTGGAAGAGATTTTCTCCAACTAAGGCTTTCAATTATCGAAGAGGCTTTCTTGAATGTACCATCGGAATGTTTGAATGAAGCTACATGCGACATTGGAATATAAAAGTAAAAACTAATAAATAAATAAACAATGTATTAGATGATGGAACGATTAGAGTTGAAGATGGAGCCGTAATCCTAATCAGCGGAAGGCCGCAGCTTGAGGCAGGACTTAACATTTGCAGCGTGGCTGATTCGTGCTAGACACCCAGTGGCTCTCCACATAACGTTATTGAATGACACTCTCTCGAGGATTTTTGTCCGATTTACTTTGAGTTTAGATATCGTTCGTGAATCAACATTCATTAGCATGAATTTCATTTCACTTTGCGCTTAGGCCAGTTTGTCACTTTGTACATGTATATCGTTTTGCAAAGAAGCTAAAGAGTTTCATTGGTTTTGTGAAGCTTTTATGAAGCTCAAGCTATTGACGTCGCCGTCCTATATGAAAATGTTGAAAATACACTTCCCAAGCATTTTGTCTTTGGCAATACGACGAGACAGGTTCCCGCGTCCAGTGCCACTCCCGTCGTGGCCTTCCCGTCCTCGTATATCAAGGTCCCTAATGTTGCGTATACTGATGTAGAAAACATATATTTCGACCAGTCAAATTTTAAAACAATACTTTGCAATAAAACCAAAACTCCGTAACTGCTTTTGCACCACTGTAGTTAGTTATACTGTCCAGTAACCACATGTCCTCTTCGGGGACTTCTGTTCCTTTTTATACACTATACTGGCGGACCCGGAAGCTCACCGACACCAATAAAGCTTTCATCAAAAGTTACGAGGCAATATATAATCCGTCAGAAATACCGTCGTTCACACAAGTACATAATCGATGTAAATTTGACAATATCAAAACGCCTTACAATGATGTAGCGCATTCGTCGTGAAACTGCATAAAACAACTAACCTGCCTGAGCGAGAGGTACAAGGAAGAAGAATGGAAAAAATGCTTTGAAATCCATCCTAGGAACTGGATGGGCAGCCTTCTTCCCTTTAGCGTGCATTTAGTTCTTAATTCTGTCGATCACATGATTCTAACAATTATCTTCCGCTCATTAATAACCGTCTGACAGATTTGTATGCAAATGTTTTTCACATTTCCACAATAATAATGTTAGCTCACGTATTAAGTCAAGGACGTGTTTAGTAAGGGTAAATGTTAGACATGCCTCAATACCTGGAACGTCTTAAAATTGCTCAACACCACAGTTTGAAAGTGTTATTTAATTTCGACGAATGTGATTATTTCTGACGGGTAAAAAAATTAGAAGACGTCGTACTTCTTTTTTTTCTGTGACGACTTTACCACACAGGCACTCTCCAGTCAGCGGGTAACAGTTAAATACAATAATAAACGAATAAACTCTTCTGCCGTTTACAAGAATTAAGAAATCCATCGACCAAACGTGAGCTGTTTTCAATAAAAATATCAAGTGTCAGCGTTGTTATGGTTTGTAAATTGTTCCGCTTCCACGTGGCATTGTATTTCAATTTCGTTTGAAAATTTAGGTCAAAACAAACAAACGTCAAAGAATGCAACTGCAGAAAAAAAGACCAATGCCCGCTGGACGGAAAATGCCTCACAAAAATGTAGTTTGCCAAGCCACAACCACAACACAAGCATCATCAGAATCATACGTGGGCCTCGCCACAAATTTTAAAGAGCGCTACAGGAATCACACAGCATCCTTTCGACACCAAAACAAGAGAAACGAAACTGAGCTATCTAAACACATTTGGACACTCAAAGACAACAAAAAACCTTTCATCATCAAGTGGAGAATCATCAAGCAGTGCAGACCTTATAGCAACATTAGTAACAAATGTAATTTATGTCTTTTTGAGAAATTTGTGATCATCTGTAAGAAGATACTGTAGTTGTAGTCAGGCATAGTAATAAAATCTTAAAAGTTGTTGTCACTGACTTAAAAATCTTAAAATAGACGTTTCGGCTAAAATACTATAACC